AAAAATGAAGTTTTTGAATATAAAATTATTTATTTCTATTCTTCCTCTACCTCTGGTTTTCCTAGCTTGACTTATTTAGAGCTAACTAAATATCTCATGAATATATCTGAAATTGACTAGGCAAAATACACATTATTCTTTAATGGTTCTTGCCTTATTATGAAAACAAGGCAAAGGTTTTATTTGGCAACAATTTTTGGCAATTGTAGAATTCAAGAAGAAATATCTGTTATTTTCTCCCATACAGTAATTTGTTTGGGTGCCTATTGATATGTGACCTAGCATTTTCTCCTGAAAGGAAATGCTGGTATTAGAAAATGTGAATCATGTATTTTGTTATTAAATGTAATGTTAATTTAGCAAGTCATTTATTGAATGAGTGCTCTGTGCCAGGTGTATTCTAGATATCCAGTGTGAGTGAGAGGGAACTGACTTTAGCTTATGTCCTCATAGTACAATGAGGAGACAGACATATAATGGACAGTTTATATACAATGTGGTAATGTTATAATGCCAGTATAATAGAGTGTGTACAAGGCTCTTCATGAAAGAGAGAGCATCCAGGTTTGTGTTGGGTATTCAAGAGCTGTAGAGAAGATGTAGTGAATTGGGTCATTGAGGGTGTATGATTCATAAAGTACAGAAACAAGAAAATTTCAGGCAGAAAGAATAGCATATGTAAAGGTAAGAAGATACCAGGACACATTGCATGGGCTGTAGGTACAGTATGTTACCATTTATAAAATGGAGAAAATGATATGTAAAGGTTTGTTTATATATATATGTAAAATATTTCTTTCTGCGAGGACATTGAAGACACTGACAATATTGACTGCCTTCTGGGGAAGGGGAACTGGATGGCTAAAGGACCAGGGTAGAAGAAAGCCTTCCAGTGTATATATCATTTTGAATCTCGACTTTTGAAACATTTAAATTTTAAAACACAGCATGTGTGAATTTATAGGAAAGTAGGTAAGAAGAATTAGACCCAAATTTTAAAGGATGTTCTCAAGCCTTGTTTAAAATCTCTATACAGTGAGGAAACACATAAGGTATGTGTTTTCATAATTTCTTAATAGAAATATGGACTGTGGATTATAGTGAGAAGAAAATAGCAGGAGGAGAGAACAGTCTGAAAGATTCTGTTGTCCCAGGTCTTTTTCTCACACTGAGGAGGACTTATTCTAAGGCAGAGTCAAGGGAGGTTGGACAGCAGGGTCAGAATTATGGAGATAATATTTAACTGTAAAAGTAATTGGTCACAATTAAGCGTCTTTTTGAGGGGAGGTGCTCATTTAAAATAATGGTCTTTGGGTGATACAAATATTTTG